CAGTCATGATGGTAGTGGTGTCCTCCGCCAATGCACTGCTGATGTTGCGGACAGCTGCCGCTGCTCCAGTGCCGCGGGGCCACTGATAGAACATGATGACCCGAAGATGCTCCTGTGAAACTGACATCGTAATTAGACCCAGGAAAGTGCAGGCGCCCTCACACAACTCTTGCAGGAAAGCTCCTAGAATGTTCTACAAGCATGGCATGTTACGTCATGTTCGAGCATCAAGAACCGAAAAGTGTAGGCTTTTCAAAAAACACTGACAGGACTTTCCTTCCAACCTAATGAAATGAAACCCACCTAGGAATCGAAACACTAATGTTTTATGCAACATCAAGGAGGAGGAAACTTTATAAATTCATGTATAAGCTCGAAGAATGAAAAAAAACACTAAGAAACTTACCCTAAATGAAGCTCCCACGCTTTTTGCTCATTTCTATCCTGAATCAAAAAGAGAATAGAAAAGAAAAGCCATCAAGTTTGGTCCACCTTTCCTTGAGTCAAAACAAGCTTTCATACCAGAGACAATCGCAATTAAAAGAAAAAAAGCACGAAATTGAGCCGATTTTCCTAGCAGCACTCGGAGCGGTCCAAGTAATAGCGTTTGGGCGCGCTCTGACGCGTACCGACGATCGCGGCGATCGCCGCTGCTGTCGCGGAGTATGAATGCTGCCGAAGAGGCGGGTTGGCGGCGTTCACTATTTGAGCGGCGGCGTTCGCACACGTTTTGTTTCACAGTTGTTTACTGTTTGTTTGCGTTTTGTTTCACATCAAATTTCATCACTCTCTCCGGTAATCACCACTCGCTGAAAGTGAATAGAGCAGGTCCATATGTAGTGGATATTACGCATTATTGATGTACTATCGAGGAACAAAGACCAATCGTACAATTAGAAGTGGTCAAAAGGATAAATTCCTCATAGCTGATTAATCCTTTTGAGGTGCCGGTACACGCTCCACTTTCCTAGCGGCTTACCGTATTCGATGTGGCCTATAGAATGACTTGCGGGATCAGCCGAGATACAAATTTGTTCCTATAATTCTATACCAATCTGGTGCTAATTTATCGGTCCCAGAGGATAGATTGCTTGGCAGGCTTGAGCGGGTCCGAGATTTGCTTGTCGGACGCACATGGGAATTAGGCCGCTTGCCACTACAGTACGTCCCCCTAGAAGCGAGTGACAGTGTGCGCTCTCAGATCAAGGCTCGTTCAAACATTGCAGCAGAGGAAAGCATAGGTATCGATCTGGCGTCTGCCAGCGTTCACCAGCGACCGGAGAGTAGAGAGTATGGGGAAGTAGGAGGGTAGCAAACAGCTGGATTAGGCGTCGTGAAATTGCGGCGTGTGCAATCGCGAAGCACAATAGTCGTACGATGCGATCGCACGCGCGCCATTTCACGACGCCCAATCGAACTATTCGCTATCCTCGCTTCTTCCCCATACTCTCTAACCCCGATCGCCGTGACCGTTGGTAGAAGCTAGCAGACGCGAGATCGATCTATATTTCCCTAGTTGCTGGCGCTGCCGGACCGGTTAAACGCCGTGGGTTCGCTGATCGACGCCCGAGAAAGCACGCAAGAACGTATAAGCAAGCTGCCTGAGGAAAAGAAGTGAAGACGCTGTGTAGTGGTTTCCTTCCGAACACGTTAGTGCCAATAAATTGTTGTCAAACTAAAGCACCAATCAGAACAGGTACATTACTCAATTCCTCTTGTATCGAGTGACGTTTTACAATTCAACAACATTATTTTATGAATTTCAGACTTTCGATTGCGAACGAGAGATCCAGATTCTTGAGCGCGACATACGACAACAGAAGGAATCAAGTGTTAATGCCAAGACAGCAATTACGTTTGAACAATTAAGGAAAATTCACAAGTGCGTTGAGTTTGTAGAAATTGTGGAATGTTACCAATTTCGCTCAGAATTCAAATACCTTTCATTAGTTTGGGGAAATTCCTCGGACCCCAGAAGGAGGTGTTCTTCGACAGAATTTGCCGAGCCGCCGATATTCAACGTGCATCACTGAAGAATCGTCTCAAGCAGAATAAGGAGGTATGACCTGAGTATTCGCTACATTATGGCTGGGAATTTCATATATATTTGAAGTATTTACACTTTCCACTAAAATGACCTGCAACCCATTTCAGAAATTTGAGCCGCCAACAATACTGAACTCCTTTCGACAAGGGTATCAGGAACCCGGAACTCCGAGTGACGGCACACCCTCGCTACTAACGACTCATTGGCAGCAACTTGCACAGTTCAATGCTAATGAGGTGAGTTTTCTCGGGCATTCGAACCATTCACAGTTTTGGAAAAAAACAGCACGAGATGAACGTAAAGCATTGTCAAGTGACGCACAGTCACGAGATCACGATTTGAATGGAGTTGCGCCCAAGTTGCTGGTAGTAGAGTTGTTGAGGGAAGGGGCAGGGATAGGAGAAGGATAGAGATGAATCGCAGAATGCAAATCATGAGCTAAAATCTCCTCGGGGGTCGTATCTGGTCGTTGGAAGGCTGGGGAGTGGGAGAGTGGCGCGGTGAGTCATAAGGCTGCGTTCATACTTTGCGGCAGCGTCCACCAGCGTTCTGAGCGTCTGGCAGCGTCAACGACAAAAGAAGTATATGATATCGATTCCAGCGTCCTCCTAGCGCCTAGCCAGTGCGTGCGCCAAGCGGTCCACCAAACACGTCTTACCAGCTTCTCGAGGGCTAGATAAGTATGAGTATCGATCTAGCGTCTGCCCGCGTGCGCTAGCGTCCGGGATGGGAAAGTATCCCTCGATAGGAGGGTAGCTGACAGCTGGCATAGCATGAGGATATAGGAGGGTAGACGACGACGAGTTGACGCTAACGCATGCTGGTAGACACTAGATCAATATCTATATTTTCCTAGTCACTCCTAGTTCCTTAGACAGTCACTGACGCTGCCGGACGTTCGGAACGCTGGTGGACGCTGACGCAAAGTATGAGCGCAGCCTTACTAAAGAACGAACAAAATAATGGAGTCACGAATCAGTCCGCATCATCAGGTGACATCGATTGCGTTTGCGGGGAGAGACGTGGAAAGTTCTCACTTTCAACTATTTCAGAGGAGAGGTTTGAATGCATGGCGCCTCACAGAAAAAGTCATTCCGGTGATAAGGCGGCTTCGCACACCGAAAACGATCTACAAATTACTTTCTGGAATTGCCGTGATTCAGAAACACGCGTGATTACGGTTCGCTCAGATTTGCTTTTGCTTTGGGCAGCCACTGGCGCTGTAAATAAGGTTGTGGTCGTCTAGAGCATAAAAACTCGCATGTGATTTTAATTCGCTCATCAAAAACCCGTCAAAGATCTTCATCGAACTGTGGAAGAATCAAAGTTCAGCAATAATTCAAAACGATGACGAATACTTTACAACTGTGTTTTCCGCTTCAAAACCTCCGCTTCTAAGAAGGTCACTGTCGTCTAAATTAAGAGCACTTGTCGATAATATTAGACGCAAACTTCAGAGTAACAGAGCTGCAAGGGAGTTCGAGCTGAGACCCTTTGGAGAGGGGTCGCGCTGTCACTGCAAACCACTCTGATGAAGTACTCTGGTGGGAAAATGTTAAAGGCAAGTAGCACTGCATAATCCCTAGAAGTTGTAGGATTTAGTACGTCTAGCAGAACAGAATCCGGCGCCCCTAAGCAGGCGCTATTACAAGGAATGTACTTTTATAGCGCCATGTCAAGCTGCAACATGCCGATCCGGAAGCCGACGCGGCCCGCCCGCCATAAAGTCCCGATCAGTGCTGATGTCGGGTAGCTCATTGCGCCAGTACATAGGAAGCGGAGGCGATAGCTTGAAGGGCGTCGCGCGGTTGCTGCGTGGGTGTATGCGATACATACATATATGCAGCTGCATCTACTGCAGCGGTTATTGGCACGATGCCAACGGGGATCTCGTCCGAAATTGCTTTCTGGGCCGGGTAGAACAAAGGCATTTCTGCAGGTTTTTACCGTTCCACTTGGCTTTTTCGCCATTTCACTATATACCGCTCCTGGTAGCAACCCGTTGTATGACGCTGTATGGATTATTTTGCACCATGAAACGTGGTGGCAAGCCACTCTTGCTGCTTGAATCTGGGGTCTACGGGAAAAGGCCTACGGCACTGACGCACATTTCCTCGTGCGCCTATGAACAGGAAAAACCACGAAAAAGTTCAAACAACCCTTTCGTTCAGGAAACCAGAAGTCAGGGAGGCAAACCACCCTCTCTCTCTCCTCCTCTCTCTCTCTCTCTTCTTCTCTCTCTCTCTTCTCGAACGAGCAAATATGGCTCCTGCCCCCAACACGATGTGCCCTGAGTGTGCACGAGCAAATTAAATGGAATAACCAACATCTGTTCGTGTTCAGGAACCAAAACAATGGCATGAAATGCTATCCGAAATATGATTATAATTTCAGAACTATCTATCGCCTCCAACGCTTCACAGTCTTGTGCAAGTTTCATCAGCTGAGGTAAGTATGCATCCATCAGTTTTACCTTTATCCTCAAAGCTCATAAGAATAGGACGTTGAAATAGGGTCAGGTCTGACCATCATTTCAGCCTGACCTCATTTCCCTCCCATAGAGAATCAGTGAGCAAAGGCACACTGTCCTGTGCCAACCTAGTATTTCTCAATTAATCGAGTTGCTATATGGAACATCAGTGCCTAACGTTACTCCTTTTACTCGTTCTTTCCTCTGATTTGGCTCTTGAGGCACTTTTATGAAATGTAAACAAAATGCCAAATGGACCGCGGAGGCGCCACATTGCTTGGCACATACTCCGTGCTGAAGCATTCCCTTCCCCCAACGCGTCCTACTCTGACCCGTATAGCCAAAAACCTTGGAGCAGCTAATTTCATGTGTTTTGAAAGTAAACTTGTTCGGATTAAAAATTTTATTGAGCCGCTCTCTCATAAATTTCGAAGACCATGTCCCTTTTAGGCACCTCGAACACCGTCGTCTTCAACGGCAGAAATGACGCCATTGTTTCGCCCGAGCAGTGCCTGTGAAGAAGAGATGAAACTACCTGCAGAACGATCCCTTGATCTCATGCAACTCGGCTTTTCGTTCGACGAAGTTAGGCAGGTCTGTCAAGATGCCATACATCCGATAGTCTCCCTTCACTATTGTTAGTTCTGACTTGATTTCCTACATCTATAACAACAAAGTTCGCTTTGTCTTGATTGAAATTTCTAGCGACTCTTCACTGTATCATCTACATTGCTTGTGCATTCAGATAGCAGATCTTTTCGATCAGTATAAGGAGATCGTCAAGCCGCATAACCCGGGACTTACTCTGAATCAGGTACTAGAATATTTTCTAGGAAAGATTAGAGCTGTGGGGAACAGTATTCTTTGATCCGAAATTCATACATATTTTCATCGGCCATCATCCCCCAGAGGTAGATTTCGTTAAAAATAAGCACCTGAAGGTACCCCAACCCTCTGAGCACGAATATCACAGTTCGTGCTCAGAGGGTTGGAGTACCTTCAGTCGTTGAACACGACCGGCATCTGTGGATGTACAGGTAGCAGCGTCTAGTCGCCGTATCTTCAACCTTTTTGAGATGCGGCGCACATTTCACATCATTTCCAAGAAAACACAGTTCCTTATCGAATGCGTTGCAATCTATAAAACGTTCCGCCGGGGCCAGTCAATGTATAAGTCAGTGATCTTATCCTCCTGGATGAAACTGGTACGAATTTTAATGTTAGGGTGACTCTGCAATTTCTGTCCTTGTAAGAAGTGTAAGCGCTAGACGACAGTTCAAGCTCAGGGAATCGATTCTGTTACTCTCCTTCTTCTTTCTCAGTCGTGTACAGAAATAGTCCAGTAGGAAGGGCGCAGCCTATCACACACGCAGTTTGAGATGAAGTCTGGATTACTTTCCGCCTGATCAATCAGGTCTTCGATTTCATTAGGGTTCGGTTGACTTGTTCAACACTCATACATGAGAGCATAACACTATACTTTATCCCTATCAGTCACCTCATGGGCCAACTCGCGGAATGCCAGTGCGAAGGAAGGAAGCGTAGTGCATCATAAAAAGCGTCCACTCAGTGCCCACTTGTTCTAGCCACTATGCTTTAGAATCCACGACTGTCGTAGCTTTTTCAGGTTCTCACCCAATTTGCCAACCTTATTTCAATTTCGGTTCCTGAGAATCTGAAACTGCTCTCCTATTCATTTAACTTACTCGAAATGGGCTACTCCAGGCAAGAAGTCGCTCGATTGATAGCAAAAGAGGTAGTACATAGCACAATATAGTCTCGAAATCATGATTCCTATCAGTATTCCTTCAAGGTTTGAATTCAGAGAAGAAGACCTATACTTGAACCGGTGGTATGTTAGAACGTCAATACCAAAAGGTCGCTGAACCCGCTTCCTGTATGTTCGAGCCGAATGTTGAAACTACTCCAAGTCAAGATAACAATGGGAATCAATCCGACGATGAAACGTATGATATGCTCATTCTAGAAGTTTCCTTGTGTTTGCTGGCACTCGTCGAGTTGCTTATGCTTCATTACTATCATACTGGTTTCCTGAAATCGAAAATGAAGGACAAAGCCCGCGATAAGAAGTTCTCTTTAGTGGTGCTCAAATAGCGATGCAAAGTAAGCCAGTGGTGGATAGAAAACATAGGGAGAATGGTCACAAATGTCTGTGATACCCCCCTCCTATCAAGTGCATCTGTACGAGCAGGGGGTGAGCAGAGATTGTGATCGGACGAGATCACTGGACGGTGGTGTTGTGGTCGAATATGGTCTCTCCGCAACTAATCTCAGCAGTTTTTTTATTGAAGGTGGGTCGGGCCAAAGAGAGGAAGACTGCATCGCTTTTGCACCGTGAAAATGTTGCAGTCGCTTATTGTACGGACCCAACTTCCTGTTTCAGGAGAGAGAGAGTAAGAGAGAGAGAGAGAGAGAGAGAGAGAGAGAGAGAGAGAGAGAAGAGAGAGAGAGAGAGAGAGAGAGAGATCTCAGCAGATCCCAGGATGACTGTATTCAACCGATTACAGGAAAGAGGAGAATCTTCTTCTTTAGCGCTTGTCCCGCTCAGCGGCAGGGTTCGCTCTTTTAATGTAATGGCGAAACTTTTTCCGATCAAATGACATACAGCTTCCACACTCGCTGGGCCGTACAAGTGCGCGTGGGCGCCGTAGCATTATCTCGAGATTCATGTGGCATAGTTAAACACTGTGATGTGAAATGGGGTGTTCGTAGGTCGGCCCGTCACGGAGGCCTGTCATCTGCTTTCGGATGTCCGCGTTCGGCTCAGCCCGCAGTAGCACCAGGTGGAGGAGCGGTCTTCACCACCAAGGAAGAGAGGAGTAACTCCTCTTCTATTTCTTGGCAGATTCATAATCGTATGCCATCGGGATAAGAAATTCGTTGCCTTGTCGGATCAACGGGTCAGATGTGAACTGTTTCTTCACAGCGTTGGACGACAATGTTGTGACGGGAAAGACGTTCTTTTCGCATGCGTCCGCTAGAACACAGTGGCACATAATGCTGCCCTCTGACGGAGAGCCGCTCAGTTGTTCCTTGTTGGGACGGCAGTCATTAATCGGAACTGCATGTATTTTTTGCTGACCGCGCTCGTGCTCGTAAATAATTCTGCTCTCCTTCATCACATTTTATTCATTGGGAGCACGTACAGTCAACAGCAACCCATCTCGTAAGGTAAAACGCGTAAAAATCACGAATGATGCAATTTCTGTGGTGCAAAAGCTCGACGCACTTCACTACACTAAAACATGCTCGCTACCGTAACCCTAAGTTCGGACGCCGGCTTTTAGATGTTTCCTCTTTCCTTTTTGTTGAGGAATGATGGTAGCTTGTTTACTCTAAGTGATAGTAGTACTGAGCAACACCAGATCATTCCTGTATAAAAGACTGTTTGTCGAGTATGGTTCACTTTTCGTTCGGCTTCGCTTGGACCTAATAAACGACGACTATGCCTGCTCGCCGGTGTGCATACATCATACAATTGGCGATCAGGACTACCAGGACTCACCCGTACCAGAATCAGCCTATACCAAGACTACCAGGAACAAGATCTACCAGCCAAGGATCCCGAGATGCCGAAGTCCTCCGGAGACGCAGTTCCTGCCCCAGCCACACTTGAGGTACTCCTTCAGTCTATGCTTCAGCAGTTTCAATTTCAGCAGGAAGACCAGCTGAACAAGGAAATCCAGAAGTTCACAGCAGATGAAGAAGCCGGATTGACATTCGATTATTGGTATAAAAGGTACGGCTCAATGATTCGAGAGTCGAATATGCCAGATAACAAGAAGAGAGATCTTATTCTGTTGAAACTGGAGGATAGCGCATATCGCAGGTATGCAGACGATATTCTTCCGTTACAACCGCACGAGATTACCTTCGATTCCACAGTAGCAAAGCTCCAGAAGTTATTCGCATCCAAGAAAACATTAATCCGACGACGATATGAGTGTCTGAAGATAACGTGCCCAGCTTTGACCGCAGACAACATACCGTTCCGAGAGTACGCCAACACGATCAAAAGGATGGACGAAGAAGCTTGCTTAAAGGAAATGGACTACACGGCGCTGAAGACTTTGCAGTTCGTCGCAGGTCTTCAGGACCCTTCACTCCAGGAAGTACGTCTTCGAATGCTGCGTAGGCTCGATACGCAAGCGGAAGACGCGCCACGACACAATTGACACAAATTCGAAGATCTCGTTTGCCTACTGTGAAATTTTCACAGCTTTGAAGTATGGGATAACGCCAATATGGGAACAAGCCATGACATCCATGCTGTTCAGAAAAAGAAGGTCAAATGCTTCGGATGTGGAGGACCACATTTTAAGAGCGCTTGTCCACTTCTCAAACAGATCTCCAAGAAACCGAAAAGGCAGCACCACCGTCGTAAAAGGAAGCAATGCCGGAAAATGGTCGGCAACTTTTTTTCCCTGAGAGAAAGCAAGAAACATCACGTCGGATGTCGATGTAGAGGACGTTCTCTACTTCTAAATCGGACACTGGAGCAGATATCACGCTGATATCTCGTCGAACATGGAAAAAGCTCGGATCTCCACCCTTGGAATCCTGTAATATGCCAGTTAAAACGGCAGACGGATCACCGATGAAGATTGATGGAAGATTCTCCACAGACTTCTCCGTGAGAGACCGTACTACGGGAACGAAATTTCAAGGAAATGGTTATTGCTATGTCACCGGAAATACAAATCTACTTGGTTTGGAATGGTGTATTCAACTTCCCGCATACAAGGAGTTGCAAAGCAAATACCACTGTCGAATGGTGAGCGAAGCGGAAACTGCCCGAGCACAGTTAGTTGCAGACCTGAAGAAGCGATACGCAGAAGTTTTCAGCTGCGAGCTTGGTCGATGCAAGAAAAGGAAAGCGAAGTTGTTCTTGAAGGAAAACACAATACCTGTTTTCAAAAAGAAGCGACCAGTCCCTTATGCCTCCGTGCCAGAATTAGATGCAGAGATTGATCGTTTGGTCTCCACTGGTGTGATTTCACCAGTTGATCATTCGGAGTGGGCCGCTCCCGTCGTTGCAGTCAAGAAGAAGAATGGACAGATTCGTTTATGTGCCGACTTCTCAACAGGATTGAACGACGCCTTGCTACTGCATCAGCATCCATTACCTACTACAGAAGAGGTGTTCACACGGCTGAACGGAGGGCAGATTTTCACACAAATCGACTTGGCGGACGCTGCGTATCTTGCAGAGGTAGAACGTCGAAAGAAGAAGAATCGAAGGCGATGTTGACGATAAACACGCACAAGGGACTATACCGTTACAATCGTCTACCCTTCGGAGTCAAATCAGCACCTGGCATTTTTTCAACATATCTGTGGACTGAGGCGTTGCACATATTGACGGATGTCGTTGTCACAGCCGCACATTATGAAGAGCACCGCCAGAACTTGGAAGCGCTTTTTGACAGGATATCTGAATATGGCTTCCACGTCCGTTTGGAGAAATGCAATTTTCTCATGCCGAGGATTCGCTACCTTGGATTTATCATCGATAAGGATGGAAGACGTCCTGATCCAGAGAAAGTTGAGGTCATTCGTCAGATGCCAGCCCCGAAGAACGTCGCAGAAGTACGTTCGTTCCTGGGAATGATCAGTTATTACGGATCATTTGTGGCAGAAATGCGCCAAATACGCGCCCCACTTGACGAATTATTGAAGAAGAATAGCTCTTTTCACTGGACAAACAAATGTGAAGAAGCTTTCCAACGTGCCAAAGACGTGCTCGCTTCGGATTTACTTTTGACACATTTTGATCCCAGCTTGGAAATAATAGTCGCTGCTGACGCATCGGACTATGGAATTGGAGCCGTTATTCTTCACAAGATGCCAGATGGTACAGAGAAGGCAATATGCCACGCTAGTAGAAGCCTCACTGCTGCAGAAAGAAACTATGGCCAGATTGAAAAGGAGGGACTTGCCTTGATATTCGCTGTCCGGAAATTCCATCGCTACATATATGGACGTCGATTCAAATTGTTGACAGATCACAAGCCGTTGCTACATATTTTTGGACCAAGAAAAATGGTACAAACTTACACAGCAATACTAGCCACCAGAGCTTTCAAAGATGGAAGCTTATACTACTGGGATATGACTTCACCCTCGAGTATCGAAGCACAACTGAATTTGGACAAGCAGACGCATTATCAAGACTCATTCCTCCACGGCCAGATCAAAGCGAAGATGTTGTGATTGCCAAAATTGAGCAAGACATTCTCGCTGTGAATGCTATGGCCTACCTTAAACGCGCTGACCGTGACCAGAAATTCGATTCAGGAAGGAGTCCAGAAGAACGAGGGAAATATCATAAGCCGTCACAGAATGCCTCAAAGAAAAATGGGCCAGCAAGCTTTCATTGAGGAAATGCGAAATTGGAGAGCTTTACGGCATACACTTTCTACACAAGACGGATGCCTATATTTTGGGCACAGGATCGTCATTCCGAAGTCTCTACGTGGAACAGTGCTTGAATACATGCTTACCAGTGCGACATCTGCGAATGAAAGAATGAAGATGCTCGCCAGAGGATATGTTTACTGGACGAACATCAATCGTGACATCGAAGAAAATGTGCGCCACTGCCGCTACTGTCAAGAAACAGCGAAAATGCCAAGGAAGACAGCTATAAGCTCATGGCCAGACGAGAAGAAACCTTTGGGAACGATTGTTTGTGATTACCGCCCGAACCTGTCAATGCGAAAAAATGGTTATTCTCATAGTTGATCGACTCATATTTCAAAGTGGCCAGGAAAGTCTTCGAAAGTGTCATCGTCAAAGGCAACGAACGGCAACCCTAGAGAACTCAGAATTGTTCACCCA